TCACCGTTCTCGACTAATGGTGGTTTACTTTCTCTACATATACTAGCACAATGTCAGAATTTAAAATTAGTTAATTATTTAATCGAACATAATTTTGGTGTTTTAACTAATCATGTCGATAATCTTTTTTTTTATTCAGAATGGTCTCATATCAATTCTTTAACATCATCAGGTGAAAATATATTATGGATTAGATTTTAATCTTATAAATATTGCTGGAAATTCACCATTATTGGTGGCATCACATTTAAATAACTTACCCTTTATTCAGGTTTTAGCTGCTTTACCCTGTGACGTCAATAGACAAAACCACCAGGGTCATACAGCACTCCACCTTTGTGTCATAGGATTTACTTTGATAAAAGAAAAATTAAATATGATGAATGTCAATTTAGTAGTGAAAAATGTATGTGCCTTTGAAAACTATCCCAGATACCTTGCATGTATTTATTTTTTACTCAATCTTAGTGCAGACGTTAATAAGCAGGCTAATGATGGGAAAACAGTTTTAATATTGGCCTGTATGAAAAATGATAGAAAATTGTTAGAAACACTATTAAAACATGGAGCTGATGTAAATATTGTGGACAGCCATGGTCGATCTGCTCTACAATACATAGATTTAGCAAACAATGTTTATGATTTAACATGTTTTAATTTACTACTGTCTCATGGTTGTAGACAATCTTTTAATCAGCCATGCCTTAATGGTAACACTATTATTCAAAATGTACTCCAATTCTCACCATTATGGCAAATTGATCAAACAGTCAATTTTATCAAATTTCTTGTTTTCAAAAATATCAACCTGCAAGTTTGCAATATTGGACTCGTGTCGTTTGCCAGTACCATTATGTTGGATAATGGTACACAGAGATCAAAGGGGGACGTCACATCTGTATTTTTAAATAAGTATTTCGGTAAAACGAATTAGTTATTTCGTTTAAACTAATGTAAAATTTGCTCTGATTTGTATTCTATGTTCTAATATATAGAGGTATATTCTAATATATAGAGGTATATTCTAATATATAGAGGTATTTTCTAATATATAGAGGTATGTTCTAATATATAGAGGTATATTCTAATATATAGAGGTATATTCTAATATATAGAGGTATGTTCTAATATATAGAGGTATGTTCTAATATATAGAGGTATATTCTAATATATAGAGGTATATTCCAATATATAGAGGTATATTCTAATATATAGAGGTATGTTCTAATATATAGAGGTATGTTCTAATATATAGAGGTATATTCTAATATATAGAGGTATGTTCTAATATATAGAGGTATGTTCTAATATATAGAGGTATATTCTAATATATAGATTAGAAGTTTCTGACTAATATAAAATATCAATTCAATTTACTTTGATTAGTTTTCTATGTTCTAATATATAGAGGTATATTCTAATATATAGAGGTATATTCTAATATATAGAGGTATGTTCTAATATATAGAGGTATGTTCTAATATATAGAGGTATATTCTAATATATAGAGGTATATTCTAATATATAGAGGTATATTCTAATATATAGAGGTATATTCTAATATATAGAGGTATGTTCTAATATATAGAGGTATATTCTAATATATAGAGGTATATTCTAATATATAGAGGTATGTTCTAATATATAGAGGTATATTCTAATATATAGAGGTATATTCCAATATATAGAGGTATATTCTAATATATAGAGGTATGTTCTAATATATAGAGGTATGTTCTAATATATAGAGGTATATTCTAATATATAGAGGTATGTTCTAATATATAGAGGTATGTTCTAATATATAGAGGTATATTCTAATATATAGATTAGAAGTTTCTGACTAATATAAAATATCAATTCAATTTACTTTGATTAGTTTTCTATGTTCTAATATATAGAGGTATATTCTAATATATAGAGGTATGTTCTAATATATAGAGGTATGTTCTAATATATAGAGGTATATTCTAATATATAGAGGTATATTCTAATATATAGAGGTATATTCTAATATATAGAGGTATATTCTAATATATAGAGGTATGTTCTAATATATAGAGGTATATTCTAATATATAGAGGTATGTTCTAATATATAGAGGTATATTCTAATATATAGAGGTATATTCTAATATATAGAGGTATATTCTAATATATAGAGGTATGTTCTAATATATAGAGGTATATTCTAATATATAGAGGTATATTCTAATATATAGAGGTATGTTCTAATATATAGAGGTATATTCGAATATATAGAGGTATGTTCTAATATATAGAGGTATGTTCTAATATATAGAGGTATGTTCTAATATATAGAGGTATGTTCTAATATATAGAGGTATATTCTAATATATAGAGGTATGTTCTAATATATAGAGGTATATTCTAATATATAGATTTGAAGTTTCTGACTAATATAAAATATCAATTCAATTTACTTTGATTAGTTTTCTATATTCTATTTAAAAAAGTTTATTATTAGATAAATAGACGTTTCAGTATCGATACCGTAAGAATAGAGTTTTTTATGAATTCCATTTTGTAGTACAATCTTTACTTGCCCACATTATCTTTGTGGTGTAACATTATGCTAGGTGACTTAAAAATCATTCAATAAGTATGCTGCTATGACTTTACCAAAATATAGTCAAAAGGAAATTATCACCTCTTATAGTGTTGCTAAAAACAGTTTTTTTGTTAAACCATGTCCACTTACATGTTAGAAAACATGTTCGCCATGATGATTTTTCTTTCGAATTGGAAATTGTTTTTCTTTATCTCAGAAATTAGCCGCTTTATCAATTTTAAAACGATTTACACAAAAGCAACAAACCAAAGCACAGCAACTGGTAATAGAAAAATAGAAGACAGAAAAAAATTTCAGATGTCACAATTGAATATTCCAGTGCAAATTGTTATATAGTAATTATTTTGTTGTCTGGAGTTTCAAATCAAAACACGATTATCTCCCTTTGTATCATACGGGTTTTATTTTTATTTCCAAATGAAAATATGCTCAGAAACAAGATTCAGCTTGGTTGATTAGATGTTGATGAACCAACCTCCCGGAAGTGTAGGTGGCAGACAATGAGGGACAATCGTCTGGTGTGATTCCCAAATATCCAGAATATGGATTGTTATATTTCAAATCAAGCCATTTTGCCACAACAGACGAA